TGTAAAATACACGTAAAGTATATATATATATATATAATATAACTTAATTAGCATATATATGTATTAAATAATAATAATTATTATTAAATATGATATATTATGGAATGGATTTGATGTTTTAAAATGCACAAGTTCCCAAGCAATCAACACCCCCTATTAAGGGGGTGCCATTAGCACTGCCCTATTAATAACTTATATAAAGTGAATGGGGGAAAAAAAATGCAAAGACAGGTTTAGAAAACAGTGACCTCCATGATGGAACCCCAAATGATTACCAATTGAGCTACTTATTATATTTGTCTATAAAAGCTTAATTATTATATTTGAGTCTAAAAGCAGGGATAAGGTTCCGCCCCTGGTGGTGACAGAAAATAAGTATTGTAGTTTGCTAAGTGGGTTGATTCGGTGGATTTCATCCTAATATACATGCAAGTGTAGAGATCAGTTGTTACGCTTCTCATCTTAACTTTTTTTTTTCTTACAAGAACCCAACCCTATATTATATATAAATACAATATATTTAACCTGTCCCTTTCTTTAAAATCATTACTTTAATTTTGATATATTTAACATGAGTTTTTTTCTTAGAGGTGTATCCTTTTTGAGATGGCTACACACCTTTCTAACTTTGGCGGTAGCCTTTCCTTTGTCCCTACAAAGCACCCTTCCGCCCTCCTTCCACTATTTCTTCTCCGTCTCCACTGCCACCGACGAACGGCATCTCCTGTCAACCAATCAAAACACCCAACTGGTAAACCACCTATTAACTACAACAAAATTGATAGACCCAAAATCAAAATAGTTTCTCTTTCTTTCTTGTTTCAAGGGCTGTTATATATTTTAAATTACCAGTTCATAAAAAAAATTATATTACAACGATAACTTTTTAAAGGAGGTTTACCAGTTGGGTCATTGTGTTTTGATCCACTTGTCGGTTTTACCCCTACCAAAACCCTTTGTAAAAGGGGATTTTATTGCGATATAAATGGATGCTGGCCAATTGAGTGGAAAGAGCCACGAAAGTGAATGTTTTTCCTTTACTTTTCTATGTCCATGCCACTCAAGATACTGTTTTCAATATGTATGATTAACAATTAAATAGTAATTCTTGTCGTTCCTAGTCTCCTACTACTAGCCTGACCACGTGTGCCAAAACACCACACCACGTCACACAAAAGATTTAATTTTTCTAATTAATGGATCAATGTAACTATGTTCTTTTGGGGGGAAAAGGTTTGTAACTAGGATTCTTTTCAGCTGGCCCTACATCGTTTGTGCCGCAGAAATAACATAAACGAGGTACAATTATTCGTTAAATGGTTGGTCTGAGAATTTAATGCTCGTAAAAAACCCAGTCCCACAAAATATACGAGAACTTGTAACATTTAATAAGAATGAGAGACATAATTTTAAAAAAAAGTACAAGTATTATCGTTATAATAAGTTGGGGATCGTTTATCAAACGTTTATTCGGGTAAACGTTTATCAATTTATATTAGTTTACCTGATAAATACGACAAGAACCAAGAATTTTACCTGGTAAGTGTGAACGATGACTCTTACAATGGTAAGTGTTTACCGGGTAAATTGTTGCATATGATACCTTTTTGGTGGACTAAAATCTTCAAGATAAGTAAATGATAGTGTTAAATTTTACCGATAAATACTTACGGGGTAAGTGTTTGATAAACAACCTTTTAGTATATTAAAAGATTATTTCATGTAGTGTTCTTCAATAAATTATAAATAAACTATGATTAATAAACATAAATTATTTATACTATTTGGATAGTCTATGGGACTTGTTTTGCTTTGTTTCCATCCATTATTTCTGTTTTAATAATTACTTGATACTTTTGAATCTGTGCCTACAATTTTTTATATTTCATTGTTATTGAGATGCATATTTTGTAGTTGATCAATACCATTTTCATTAAATTCGATATTCAACTTTTATTAAAACAACCTGAGTATCTAAATAACAAATCAGGCCCATATTAAAATATCAACGTATCAAAATTTCATTATTTATCAAAAAGATGATTAAAAGATAAAAATATCCTTTCTTCATAATTTGTTTTGCCTTTTATACAAATTGAGAAAACCTTTTTTGTACAAGTACAAACACAGACATCAAATACATATATACACATAAACACACACAAACACACATACATATTATACATACCTACACACACATTTGGTGAGTAACAGTTTCATTCGAAGAAGATGAAAGCAGTACAGTTTCAAATTCGAAGCAAAAATCAGTAACATAAGCAAACAGTTCATTCGAAGCAGAAAGGAAGCAGTAGCATAAATCAGTAACATGTTCAAGTTAGAAGCGAACATAAAGCATAAGGAAAGGAGTAGCAGAAATTGAAGCAAATAGAAAGCAATAGAAGAAATCAATAACATGTTCGATAAGATGAAAGCAATAGCAGGTTCATTCGATAAGCAGAAAGAAAGTAGTAGCAAGTTTATTCGATAAGCAAATAGAAAGCAGAAAGAAAGCAATAGCAGAAATCAGTAACATGTACGATCGTTTGATGAAAGTAGAAAACAACGTTCGATCTGTTGATGAAAGCAACATACCCTGATGAAAGCATCGTTCTTTGATGAAGTGGCTAGGATTTAATAGTGTAATGAGGGTATTTTTGTCATTTACACACTTTTGGATGGAATGAATTTCAATTCCATCGGCTTTAGGAAGGAATGGTGAATTCCTTAAATTTGGGAATATTTGGAATTCAATTCCATTCCATGGACAACCAAACATTGCAATGGAATTTGGTCAACAAAATTGATCATCTAATTCCATCAGATTCCAACGGATTCTGACGAACCAAACGTCCCCTTAGAGGCCGTTTAGCTAAATATTTACTTGGTAAGCACTTACCATTAAAAGTCTTACAATTTATTTTATCGGTTAAGATTATAGTAGATATCAAAATGGTATCGTATGCAACAATTTACTCGGTAAACACCTACTCGGTAAACACCTACTCGGGTAAGAGTCGTCACCCTCACTTACCGAGTAAGACTCTTCATCTTTATCACTGCTCTTACCAGGTAAGATTTTTGACTTTTGTCATGTTCATCCGTAAGAAAAATTATCCAGTATGCACTTACCAGTTAAACATTTAGTAAACAGCCCCTTAATAATTAGGAAATTATCATTTTAATTTTAACGCTATTCCTTTAAATAAATTACCGTAAGATTTGGATGTGATTATAAAATTCATTACATATTATAATTATTTTGTTTGATAAAAATAGTATGATGATGAAAAAAAATATTAAAGATGTTTTTTAGTATTCTTTTTAATATATGGTTGAAGTTGGATTTACTATTTTTAGTGTTATTAGTGTATGTTTTTAATGGTTGGATTGAAATTGGTCTTACATTATTTATATATATATATATATATATATATATATATATATTAGATTCAACAATTTTTTATATATATATTTACAAAAATTGGTATGTAAGTAATATTATTTTATACGAATCAACATAAATAAAGTATACATTTATCATTACAAAATATATTTAAAACAAGGTTTGTTAGTTTAACATGAGATGCTAGCATTTATTATGTAAGCAAGAAACCGTTCCTCATTTTAGTTGATGGCATGTCTAACATTTATTATTACGACATGAGCATATGATACATATCTAACAATTTTAGGTTTAGACTTGACTTTTAATTGTTCGGAAAACAAAACAAGACAATGCATAAAATCCAAAACAAAAATGACCTTTTTATTCAATCATATCTTTTGACATTTTTTTAATTCAAACATTACAAACAATTCATTTTAATGGTGTAGGTTTATGTTTTTCAATGCATCAACTACAGATTGAATAAAAGTTCAATCATTTGGGAGTTGTGGGTTGATAAGCCAAACATTTTGCCTTTTGTTTCATGTTTTTTTACGATATTGGTATGTTAGTTTCTTATCAGCTTTAGAGTGTTAGGTTATTTTTCCTTCTCCCCTCTTTTTCTTTTTGCATTTCACAGTTTTCATCTGAGAGAGAGGGATGGTTTCAGTTTGTAAGAAGTAATTCTGCTTCTTATTTTATATATTGCCTTAAAAAACGATCATTGAACACAACCCTAACAATAATATGAATTTCCAATCCACTCAACTTTAAATTGGATGCAAATAACTAAATTGGAACCTAGTTCAAATACGTACAATAATGTAGTTGAATCTAAGTTAAAAACTAGAACTTAAAACTAAATAACAGTAACCGTTTTCTTTAATTTTGACCAAAAATTATATTGATATATGATATCTTATTGGACCAAAAGACATTTAACATATAACACATCAAAAATATTAAAATAAGACCAGAATTTGAATAAAAACGTTGAGATTATTTTAATATATAATTTATTTTTTAATTTGGAAAAAAACATTATGTATGCCAATTTCCTAGAATTATGTGTGTGGTGTATGTTATGTATATAGTATAGTTAGCCGTGCGCTGCCTGGATAAGCACATGCCACGCGATTCGATATTACCTCCAATCACCATCTCCATTATTCTTCCCCATTCCTATCCCCATCTTATCCCTACCCACGTTGACCTGTTCACCCTTCCTCACACACCACACGTGAGGGTTAAACCCGTCATTTTACCCCCGCCCATTCTTACTATTTAAGCTCCCCTTCCTTGCTTCTCCCTCATCCCAAACCCACCAACCCTCACTTCTTCCACATGCACGTTGCCTTTTGCAGACACTGGTAAAGAAACAACAAAGAGAAAGGAAGGTATGGGTACCTCATTGTTGATTGCAGCAGCTGTTTTCGTATTGGCTGTCGGGACTGCCGTTAATGGCTGCCCGCCGTCAGATAGGGCAGCGTTGATGGCCTTCAAAGCTGCTTTACACGAGCCTTACTTGGGCATCTTTAAGTCATGGACGGGTAACGACTGTTGTAACAAATGGTACGGCGTTAGTTGTGATCCGATTACCAAACGGGTTGCCGACATCAACCTCCGTGGAGAGTCCGAAGACCCGATTTTCCAGAAGGCCCACCGGACCGGGTACATGAACGGGTCCATCTCTCCAGCTATTTGCAAGCTGGATAGGCTGTCCAGTGTAATTATTGCTGACTGGAAGGGTATTTCCGGTATTATACCTCCTTGTATATCTTCTCTACCTTTCCTCCGTATACTAGACCTCATCGGAAACCAAATCTCCGGTCAAATCCCTTACAATATCGGCAAACTCAGCCGTTTGACGGTTCTTAACATCGCCGATAACAAAATTACCGGTAGGATGCCGAGGTCAATAGCAAATCTGGCGTCATTAATGCATTTGGATCTCCGAAACAACTTGATTTCGGGAACGATACCACAAAACTTCGGGAAGCTTCGAATGCTGAGTCGTGCCTTGCTGAGCGGCAACCGAATCTACGGACCGATTCCATACACGATTTCTTACATCTACCGTCTCTCCGACCTTGATCTGTCGCTGAACAGGATCTCCGGACCAGTTCCTGAATCTCTCGGGAAAATGGCGGTCCTGGCGACGTTGAACCTGGATGGAAACAAGATCTCCGGTAAGTTACCAGCAACTCTGATGAACTCAAGCATTAGCATATTAAACCTTAGCAGAAACGCGATCGAAGGCAACATACCGGACGTGTTCGGGCCTAGTTCTTACTTCATGATGATGGATTTGTCGTACAACAATCTGAAAGGAGCAATCCCGAAGTCGATAGCATCCGCTTCGTACATCGGACATCTTGATCTGAGCCACAACCATCTGTGCGGGGCGATTCCGGCGGGATCATGGTTCGACCACCTTGAAGCGGCGTCGTTTGTTAACAACGACTGTTTGTGTGGAAAGCCTCTTAAATCATGTTAATTAACTAAAGTATTACTTTGCTTAAATGAATCGCCGGCCGTCTACGCCAACGTTGACGGAACTTTCCGGTTCCGTCCCGGGAAATTCTAATAGTCCGTACATTGAGTGTCGTTTAATTGGTGCAAAACTGCCATGGATGGAGAAGATATTTGAATTGGACGACATTAATATCATATAGATGGTTATTAATATACATTTGTACCTATTTTAACTTCTTAATTATCTCAACTTAAACATAATATATATACACACACGTGTGTGTATATATATATATATATATATATATATATAAATCATAAGAATATTACAAACTCTACAAATTAATTTCGTTCTCCTTTAATTTAATCAATGATATGGATTAAATTAAATTTAAAATCACTTTTAAATGTATTTTTAATTGATTAGGTAACCATTTATACATTTGAAGTTTATAAATCAAAATCAAAAGCCAAAATTTGATTTATGGAGTTTATAATAATGATATGATTTATATTTGAAATTTTCTCCATGCTATTTAGCTTTTTTTAAGAGGCAAACATAACATAAAACCAAGCATATTATCTTACTTCTATTCAATATATTAGCAATCTTTATTTTGTTTGAATTTTGAACTTAATTTTGTCGTTATTTAGAAAATATAATATATAATTTATTTATTCTTTCCAATTATATGATTTACAATTTTTTACTGTTTTAATGCCTTAGAGTCATATATTATAATCTCTAAATTGCAAGTATGAAAATAAAGATTATTTATAGGAATTGAAATGGCAATTTACTCTATAGAGGATCAACAATCTTTGCAACTTTATGCTTTGATTTGGTGCGACTCTTCCGCAACATCTATATTATATTATAAAATATTTGATAAAAACTCTTAAAACTATTTTTATGCACGAAATACTGTTTATTGATACATATTACTAAAAATTCAAGATTATAAATAAATTGTGTGTAAGTAAAATTTATTAGAGCTTAACTAGAAGGTTATTCGCACAATGCAGCGAGATACATTTCGATTTTAATGTTTCGTTTTATTCTATTCTCTGTTGATATTATAATATTGTTTTATGTGGTTTTGAGAAAAACGATAATGTTTTTATTTTTAAATAAAATATAAATTTGAAGATATGTTAAAAAATTAAAAAATATATCGATATTAGTATCAAATTAACTATTTAAAAGTTCTTGTTTTGTTGTGTAATTTCTTTAATTCAAATTTTTTATTATAATTTAATTTAAATTTAATGACGAAGTAATTGTTTTTTGATTTAATAATATAATTTATTATAAATATAATAATTAAGTATTTTGTTAAAACACAATGTTTATCTTAATATTTATTATTAAACAAAAAATAAAAATAAAAATTAAAGAAATACACCCAAAAAAAATTAGTTTGATATCAATAGCAATATTTATTTTTTACTTTTTTATGATATTTTTATATTTAAGTTTTATTTAAAAATAAAAATATTATTGTTTTTCTAAAACCATAAAATCGTATTATAACATCAACTGAAACAAAAATAAAATAATAAATAAATAAAACATTAAGATATATATATATCCTTACATTTTACAAATAACTTTCTAATATTAAAATAAGTACTCTATCGTAAACTCTCACTCAAATGGACCACTTAAAAAGACAATGTCTGTAGATCTCGCACAAAAAAGATACATATTTAGATATTGCATTAAAGTCGGCTAGTATTCAAGACACCCCCCTTTTTTAATTGGTTAAATTCTCTTATTATTATTATTTTATTATTTTTAATTAAATGACGAATGAATATTTTAAGAAGGTTTTATTTTAGATTTAATTTTATATTCTTTTACTTCTTTTTTTGATAACTATGAAGTCATCACAAGGGAATCCATAGTCACAAGTGTTTTCGGTAAATCTGAATTCAAATTCAAAATAAATGTGATTTTTTCGTTACATTTCTTTAAGGTTTAACCAATATGACACAATCCAGTAGTGATATTTTTTGGTTTCTTATATCATAACTGGTAGATATTATGTTAATTTGCGGTAACATAAATATGAAAATTTACATATTCAGTTGTTTTGTATCTAAAAAAATTTGAGCTCATAAAAGCATTCATGCAGTAAACATTTATTGTAATAAAATTTAGTCATGGTTTGCCTTTTGAAAGCGACCAAATTCTAAAATTATGTTATAAAACTTAATATATTTTTGAAAAATATACATAATTGCAAGTTATTCTATGTATACAACACGTGTCATATATGCAAGTCTATAAGGTTGCGCATAAAAATACATTTGCCTCCATTTTTTTTTTCATAAACCTGAATTAATTCATGATGATTGTTAAAATAATTATTTTTGGAAGATAATTATGAAAGTATGTGTTAAATATAATTATAATAATTACAGTATGTCATATGTGTGCGTATATATATATATATATATATAATTATATTGAAATTTAAGATAATTATATAAATATTATAGATAATTACATAACCATATTTAACTTATAGGTTAAAACTAAATTATGAGATTCAATCATTTAATTCTAGTTATTAAAGTAAGCAAAAGAGAAACTCATTTTGCCTTTTTTGTTCAACACACATTAGATCTAGGGCTTGGCTTAACACTCGGTGGAGATTAGTAGCGTGTTCATGTATGGACTACGGATAGATGAAATATGATGTGGTTTTTAAGTGTCCCGTCAGAGTCCTCGTCAAATTTGAAAGATAACTTTCTAAATACCTTGTGGTTTGTTTAGATTCTTTTTTAATTGTCACTAAATCCGTCTTGGGTTTTGTTTTGAAAAAAAAAAACATTATATAATATTGTAACCTACATATTTTTCCGCTTAATTTTTCGAGTTTACAAATTATTCCAAAACTCTACAATAATACATATTGATCATATTTCATGTTTATCTTGAGAAATTAGTTATATTTAATTTAGTTTGACGTAAAAAAAGTCAAAAGTACCAGGAGGTCTCATGTTCAAATCCAAGAAGAAATAAAAGCCCCCTTGTAGCCAGGGAGGTTCGAATGCAGTGACTCCGGTTATCTGCAAAACAGGTGGTCGTCCTGAGATTAATCGACTCGCATAACAGGTTGGATATCCAGGTTAATAAAAAAATCATTCATGTTTTCAATTTACTAATAAAAAATCAGTCATACTAAAATGTTAAATGTTATAAAAAAAATCAAAAGGTTTGATGTATAATTAAAAGTAGTTATATTTTAAAAGTTATTATTCTATCAAACTTGTCATATAATTTATTTAAAAATTAAATTTTTTTGGCGAATCTTGAGATGGTACAATAAATAATTGGGACCCACAACTTTACAAGGGTGTACAGAAGGAGACCCATGGTCACATGAAACTGCCATTGCACATGCATATCAATTCCCATAGCCTCACCTCTACCATATCCACAAATTTTGGTAATATGATTTTAGAATTTAAATTTTAGAAACAAAAAAATATATTTTTAAAAAGAATCTGTAATGTAAAAATGAATTTTTTTTATGGATTTATAATAAATCTCCCTGAGTTCACCTCCTTCACCAATTTTGCAGTGAAGTTTTAGACTAAATGCAATCTATATATATATTATTAAATTAAATGTATTATTATTTATCATTATTTTTATATATATAAACTCCAATATTTATATGTTATATTTTTAATACACGATTTTCACTTGATTCTAATATAAAACAAATGTTTGGTAATAGTATAATATGTTGGAATATAATTTCTATTTGGTGTCCTTGTACCATTTATGTAAAGTTTTATGAAATTAAAGATATATTTATAATTCAATATATCTATGATTGTCATTATGACATATTTAGTCCCTATACTTATGTAATGTTAACATATGATGGATGTGGGTAACATAACAATTACATAAGGGGCTGAACGGTTTCTTTTTGATATACGGTTAATCAATCGATCTTTACACGTTCGTTCTCTCTCTCTCTCTTATCGACGCTTACAGAGAGATGGAAGATCAACATCACTAATCGGTTGATCGATCACACCATCCTAATTCCGTATATCCTTGAAGAATCAATAGCAACTAATGGCATCATCATCTTCGTCTACTCTTCAAAATACGGGATTCACACCAAGTAAGTTTTATGTGTTCTTTTAAATCTTGTGTGAAATTGTTATTGAATGGATGAAATTCGATCCTTATGCTTAATGTTTCTCAACATAATAGTGATTGGTAATAGTAGATACATTATCTGGTATTGTTTAATTCGTCGGATAAAACAAATGTTTTAAAATACCTGGTGGTATCATGGTGCGTTATGTCGACAATGTACGTTTCTTACATCATGTTAGTATTTATGGTTGTGTGATATTGCTCTTATGTGACATGACTAACCTGCTTCCTACTTATGATTTTCTTAACATATTTTTTTTTCCTGAACTTTTAAAGCATCTTAACAGATTCTGTAAAATAAAGAAAAATTAATGTTTTGTTCTATATTTTTTAACATATTTTATTGTTCTCTAAAATAAATAAAAATGGAAAAAACTTCAAATTTAGAGAATTATTAAAACAGGAAAAAGAAATTAGTTTTGTATTCATTTCTACCCATGAATGAATTTACTATGATTTATAATGGCTACCCATTACTAATTACAAGAGTATATAAGACGAAGGTTCGTGTGAGAAGGAGAGTTAAGGTGAGAAGCGTAAGAAGAGATCTGAATCCTTGATCACCTTTAATCTTAAACCCACCCATGAATCGTGCTTGATACGGAAATTGATTTGGTGCATCTCGGGGCATCTCATCCTAATGTGCATTCAAGGGTGAAGATCATTTTTTTATGTTTTTCAACTTAACTATCATTCTCACCGTCATCCAACCCAAGTATATTAACCCCATAAATTTGTTGCTAAAGATATGTATTGATGTTTTTGCAAAAATAGATTACATGTTGAATTGTTATGATATCTATAAATTTATATTTTATTATCTATAACTGATGTAAACGAATGACAGCAGAGCTAGAAGAATAGATTGATCGTTGTCGAACCAAAGCCGTTTTGTTCTCCATTTGACATTCAGTATTCAATTGACTAGTGGCCTTTTATTAAAAAAAAAATGTGTGATTGACCTTGTCGTGAGATGTGAGCATTTTTGGCCATCCGATCTTGTCTCGGGCCTCAAAACTACCCCTTTTTTTAACTTTAAGTCGGATTTATTTTGTTCTTAACCCATGAGCTTTAGGAGTGATTGTTAGTTGGCCTAAGATTCTATTTTGCCATATATCAACACCCTTAAAAGATGTTGGTGAAGGATCATGTGAAAAAGTAAGTTATGATAAAAAAATGTAAGAAGAGATCTGAACATTTGATCACTTTTAGTCTTATGTTCATCTATGAATTGTGCTTTAGAAGAGAATTGATTCAGAGCAACTCATAAATGCTGACATTCAATTAGGATTGATCCAAGGGTGTAGATCTATTTTTACGATTCTCACCATAATTTTATTTCTCACCAGAATCCAACTCAAAGATGTTAGCGATACTAATATCTCATTATAATCAATCAAACCCTAAGAGTTTTTTATAATTATTTTGAGTTTAGCGCTAATAAACTTCGTTCGTTTATGGGGTTCAATACTAATTAACAATCCGTGTTTCCTACATCAAGGATAGAAAATAAAGGTCCCTTTATTGTTTATCAATTACCAGTTATATGAATAGGCGAAAGATTGTATGAAAAAAGAAGTTATGGTGAGAAACATAAGAATAAATCTAAACCCTTGATCACTTTTAGTCTCATGTCCACCCATGAATTTTGCTTTAAAAGGGAATTGATCCGGTGCATTATGTTGCACATTGTTAGTGTTGACATTCAATTATGATTGATTCAATGGTAGATATATTTTCTTTATGGTTTTCACCATAACTTTTATCTTCACCAGAACCCAACCCTATAAGACTATGGGTATTTTTACAACAAGCTGGTTTCTTAATGTAACAAGATAGACAAGTTATTGATTTATTTAGGAACCAAACTCGTTAAAAACTAAACTACATGGACCCAACTAATTGAAAAAAATGTCACATTTGGGATGTAACTCACTGAAAAAACGCAACTATAATAACACGTTCCGTTAAATTAAAAAAAAAAAGACAATGAACATTAAAAATACCTAACCACAAGACGGAACACGTAAGTTACTCTAAAGTTAATAATCAATTATGAACAACGACGATAATCGGAATTATATATTTACATATGGAATGGAAAGTAGACGATTTTGTATAAATATTTGTAATTATTCAATGCTCCTCTATTTGATTGATCATTTGGATGGCTGAATATTGAAGTACACAGTGTAATGTTCATCTCGCAAACTAAATAACGGTTGTAGAAGAAAATTCCTTTTCCATCCTTTTCCCACAAAGCTAATAGCATGGTAATCACTGATTCCGTCTTCAACCACAAAGCTCGTAGCCTTCAAGAACTCATCATCTGATCGACCGGAATCACACCCCAGCTTCACCATTCCCCCGGAACTCTCCACAAAGCAACCTTCTTCGCTTTCAGCCGCTAATCGAACCGTTTTTTCATCACCATTAACTAAATAGAAAATTGAATTCTGGGTGACGGAGTAATTGTCAATTCCAAGACTTCTTTCTCTTCCTTGGTGTACAAGAACCGAACCAGGAAGACTATATGGTTCTAACATGTAGGCTTGACCCATTGTGTCTCTGTGTGATGTGTTAACCATCATGAGTCGAAAGGTTGCGTATACAGAGGCATCTGAACCTGGTTCAGGGTACTTTTGCATTGTGGTGGTGTTGGTGGTGTATGAGAGGGCTAACTTTGAGTCATAGGATTCCTGGGAAAGAGAAACTAAATGGGAATTAAAATCGGCAGGGATTGGAGTTAACCAATCCGAAAGTGAAGTTGATGAGTTGGGTTTCAAGTCGAAGTCGTCAATGGTGAGTCCGGCGAGAAGATAGGGACCATAGAATATTGCATGGAGTGAAGCATATTCAGGTCGATCATCTGAAAATTATTGATCCAAAAGATCAATGAACATTAATCTCAAACTATTGCATAGCCCAAAGTAACAGGTTGCCCAAGAACCTCCAAATTAACTTCAAATAATGGTGGAAGTTATTGAGCTTATAAGGGTAATACCTTGAATGGCCTCCATCCGAAGAGTTATGGACAGATCAAGGTTAATTTTGTCATTTGAGCTCCATTGTTTAGAGACTGATAGGAAAGTACCTGCATCAACAGAAGTGACGATGAACTCTGCAAGGGAGGATCAAGATTTCTTGGATCTTTTTATTTTGATTCAGAGATGCATACCTGGAGGTGTTAGAGGAATATTCTGGTCATTGATTGTTGCTTTTGAATTTGAAGTCGTCCAAAATGGTATTCTAAAATTCAAGGTAGAAGACACTCCTTGCTGTAGATTATAAACATATCATTTCATTTGAAAGTTTTACCGGAAAATATGAAATGATACACAATGTTTGGCGATTATTTTGTATTTGAACGTGTTTATCACAGACAAATTAATGTAAAGTTATCGGTACCTTTTTAGGGGATACTGTCACGGTCACTCGAAGGCGAGGATCCCACGACACAGCAGGCTCGACTTTCTGAGCAAGAAAAACTTGTCCAGATTTCCAGTCAAGTGAGCTGGATATGTACTGGATGACGTAAAGCCCGTGACCATTTCCCCCTTCTTCAAAGTATATTGAATCTCCCAATTTCGAGAATGATTCGATCCCTAAATAACCCATTTGAAATGGAAACTTAGATCAATTCAAAGAGTTGAAATAACTCCATTCTTCACTTTATTGATCCCTTTTTCAGTTCCCTCATTCACAAATAAGAATGTTAAATGGCGATAAAAAACTGTGAAAACTAATCCAAACCTGTTCCATAACAACACCAGAAATCATTAAACTGTGAACCCCATTTATGATATCCTGTGGCCTTTGATGCCCCTGGAGCCATTGGCAGCATATATATCATAACTCCAGGTTCTTTCCCTCTTTGAATACTCAGGACACCATTGGTCAGGGCTCGTTCATAGTAGTCTGCGTATGCCATCTCTTTGGTCCATCTGAACAGATTACGGGAGATCTGTGCACACACTCGACCGAATAAATGATTGTAAACCAAATAATATACATCATCTGAAAGTTTACGCTCCGTCCCCAGAAAATTGCAACGTTTAGCTTCAAACTAGATCAAGTATATAAAAACTTTCCTTTCTAGGAAAGGTAGAAATTTTCATATGACACCCGAAAATAAAACGATAAGGTTAGAATTGTTTTTCTATATTATTGGCGAACACCTTCAGCATGTTATATGTAGTACAAGATTCTTCGTTCTCCGTCTCTAAGGTGCTTGCTAGTCTTTTTGGCTCTGACCTGAGAACACGAACCAAACCATTATTCGCTAGATAAACGTTCTCGATTAATATCAAGATTTCTTGAGAGACTTCAAGAAGTATTTCTACCAAAATTCTCGGACTGATGTGCCTCCTGTAGCATACATGTGGGAAGAGCTCACTATATCCATGAAAAAGGTCCCAATTTCCTGGAGAACAAGTCAAACTTCATTCGATGAAAGTTGACTTTGTGGTGTACTCAAAGGGTAATTTGATCAGAATACCTTGTACAAAGGATCACCGGTAATCTCATACCGGCTTTGAGCTCCAACAACAATTGGAATATGTGTATTGGCATGGAAACCAGATATGTGATCGGCCTGCAAGGATTGCAAATCCGATAGATTAAAAGCATGCACACAGGAAAGAACGGAAGTTACATCAACTTATGTTATGAAAATTACAACATTTGATACATAAATTTAATTTTTAGGGAAATTTTCTATTATTTGTCCAATGTCTAAGATACCCTTTTGATGGGGACAAAATAATGAAATCCTATTGACCAAAAACAAGATCCTAAAAATGATGGAAATTGTCATCAAGAAAAATGAGGAAATATATTGAAGTTACCTTTAGAGCTAGCGGTCCAAGAAAGCAGGGTTTATCGAAAAGATGAGCTAACCATAGATGCCTCATATCTCCCTGGATGCACATATGAAACAGTTATCGCACGGCACAATCTGTATACGAACGATAAAAAATGCATACTACTCAAGAACTATAAACATTGGATTTAGAAATTGGATTCCATCTTGATCCCGAGTTTGGTTTAAAGTAAAGTTTGGAATTGAGATCCCAAAATTTCAATAAAATCCTATAAACATTGGATTTAGAAATCACATGGATATAGTTGGTATTTCAACGCGATTTCATTTTTTTTTTGTATTAATATATTACAAAACTTTAAAAACATTTGTTTTGTAATAATCAATTGATAAAAAAATTTAATTAAATTATTATTAAAGAATAGAATTTAATTCGATTTTAAATTTTACAAATCAAACACACCAAAAATTCAAAATATTCCCACAAAATCCAAATGTTTAAAAAACATTCTCTTATTCCAAACCCACCAAAAGAGCATCCACAACTTTTCATCTGAGGTTTTTCTAATTTATTCCAAAAAAGTGGGGGCCACAAAAACAAGTACAAGTTTATTGAAAGCTTGTAACTGTGCAAGCAAAAAGAAGGGGATTATTCTTGTGAGTTGCTTTTTCACATGTTTAGATAGCCAAAAAAACATTCTATTAGTTTATATCATTTTCATTTCCTACTTGGATCCCATCTTTGTTACCCAAAATCACATATTTGCCTTTTCTTCATATCAATCAAACATGACCCATAATATGAAAACGTTAAATGCATGCTCTTCACTAGAGAAAAAAAAAAAAAAAAGCATAATGAAAAGGTTTGAACATACTGTGATGGTGTATAGCCTGTAAAGGACATCATCCATTCCGCCAGTTTCTTCGTTCAACGATAACCAATGTCTTTCAATGGTGTATCGTGTAATCACGTTCTGCACACGTTTGCTGAAATAATCGGCCATCTGTGTCACCATTATTAAAGCTTGACTATTCCCAGCCAAGACATACTGATCCACTAGACCAGCCATTATCTGTTCAATTATAAGAACCATAAGAACTGAACAAAACTTGTTCTATGTGTATCTCCCAAGTAAAACGATCCATAATTTAAGGTTTTACCTTGTGAATGGTGTAATATGGAGCCCAAACTTGTTGGAGAGCTTCAAAACGGTCGAAAAATTCAGATGGGAATGCCGAAAGATAACCTGTTTTTATCTTTTCTTGACAGGCAGCAAGTGCAGATACCACTGCACTCATCTTCTCTTTGAGAGCTTCGTTACCGGTGCTAGCCCACATTTGAGCCGAAGCGCTCAAGTAATGCCCTTCATTTTCACAATACATGTTGAGGTTAGAAACGAGCTCACAAGAATATGCATACAGAAGTTGTCATTTGGATAAATAACCTTGAATGAGTTTTCTATAAAAAGATTAGCACAATGATCTTCGTCCAACATTCCCCTGATTCAAAACAGTCTGCCCATGATTCAAAACAGTCTGCTCCGGTAAAAACTTAGAAATACACTAGAGAATCATTTTGCAAAACCAGCATTTGGAGAAGGTCATTGAGCTAGATAGCCATAGAAGAGCGTAGCAAATTAGCGATTACCAAATGATGCTAAAATGATACTGAATTATGGGTTCATACTAGGGGTGCTCACGGTCCGGGTTGATCGGTTTGGAGCCATTTTAGTAACCCAACTCAATGTTGGCGGTTTGAAAATTTTCAACCCAACCCAACCTAAACAAAAGTTCAACCCAACCCAACCCAACCCGTTCGGGTTGGTCGGGTTGATCGGGGTGTGTTTAAACAATGTAAAATCACATAAAAATAAAGGAAACTTTCCTTTGAAATACGACCGACTATTCAAGATAATATGCAAGTTCATCAAATATTTAGATATTACAATAAAAATATTCAAACCAAATGATAATACATCAATCAACAACAATAGTTTTAGACGTTTCCAACC